TGGAGCTTGCTGGCCTTCAGACTGGGAGCCATCCCATCTGCTCTGCTGAGTCTCCAGCCTCCTAACTCAGCCTGCAGGTTTGGGGCTTACTGGTCTCTATGACCACATGACCGACTCCTAATGATAGATGTCTTTCTGTATAAATATACGCATCCTGTCGGTTCTCTCTAGAGAGCCCTAGTGCTCATTTAGTTAATCCTGGCTGCTGTACGCTTAACCGCTGCTAGGTTAAATAGTTTGAAACCACTTTGGAATGATTAATCCCAAATCGCTGTACACAGAGTAGAAATGTAGAGAGACTGGGGAAAGGAAGCCACCTAGGCAGCAGGTTCCTCTGGGCTGGAAATGGAGACTGAGCAAGCACCAGAGCACGTGTCGTATTGGTAGAATTGGTGATGGTTTAAAGCACTTTGTAAGCATTTGTGGAAGGAAGTAGAATGCGTGAACCCTGAGGAACTCCACTGTTGAAACAGCTGCAGGGGAAGGCACCTGCAGGCGGACAGCGAAGGAGGAGCTGCCGAGCTGAGAGGAAGTCAGAAGTCCAGGCTGTTTGGAGCAGACGACTGTTGTCAGCTGTGTCTGGTGCTACTGAACAGACATTTAGCACGGGGACAGAATTGTTCAATAGGGTTTCATAGAGAGGTTGTTTGTGATTTTACCTGTGGTTTCAGGGGCTTCAGAAGATTTCATGCCAGATTAGAATGGACTAAACAGAGAATGGAAGGAGGGAAAAGAGAGACTGTATGTAGACAGCCCCTTTTTGAGAAGTTTTGCCAGGGAAGGAAGGGTGACGGGTTCAGGGAGGGTGGGATTGACCTTGATAGGATCAGAGACACTGCTGCCACTGTGAACGGAGGGAAGGGCAACGGAAGTGGAGATTATACATTTGCAGCTGGAAAGTGAGAGAGTTTTCATCTAGTGACTTTTACTTTGCAGTGGAGTGTGAGGGAGGGTTACCAGCTGAGACCCAGAGAGACAGAAAAGGTGTTGGAGGTCCGCAGAGCTGAAGAACGGACGGCCCCTGAAGGGACAGTCCTGAGCAGGGAAGGGAATGAAGCTTGCTGAACAGCTCTGGGGTCCTTGCTAAGGTTGGAAGCGATTGTTGGTGCTGGCATCTGTGGTGGTTTTATTGTTTGTTTGTTTGTGTAATTCAGTTCTAGAGGAGGAGTGGGGATATAGATGGTTAGGTGCACCCAAGCATGTAAGACTCTCCATTAGATGTAACTTCTCACTGAAAACAATTGCATTACGACCTTTTCACCCTTAAAAAAGAATGTACTGAACGTAATTTAACTTTTTCTTGCTGACTGAGGTTTTCATTGTGTTAGTAATGATGCTCTGATTGATAAAGTTGACTGCTCTAGGTTCAGGTTGACAAGTTTTCATCACGCATAAGTCACAGTGCCAGGCTCTGCTGACATCAAACTGAAAATTAAAATCCCTGCTGTGAGTAGTAGCTGCCTGTGGTGAGGGTGTCACTGGCAGTGTGGACCTTCCGCCAGGGAAGCAGAACAGGTACCCTCTCCAGGACAGACTGATGGATGGGGGTGGGGTGTCCAGGGAGGTTACTTCCCAGGGAGGTGAACAAAGGAGTCAGCTGGCTTGGAACTCAGAAGATCCATTGTCACACAAAACAACTTTGAAAATAGTGGTTAGAGTTCCAGTAAGACCACAGAAGCCAGTGAAAACGTATGTTTTCAATAAGAAACAGTAAAAAGAAAAGTTTAAAAATTAGAAGTTGAGACTTTTTAAGCCTTCTATTCATTTTGAAACTTGTGTTGAGAAAATATGATTTCACTTGATAAGGTAGATTTCAGATTTTATAATTTTTGAGTGAATGCCTGAGTGCTTTTAAGGGCTATAGTATATGATGACAGTGATTCTATGTATTTAACTCATCGTCAAAACTTCTGTGTTTTCCTTTTCTTTCTTGGCATATAAACAGCTTTTTTGTTTAAACACAGCATTGACTATGACTACAAATGAAATAAAGGAAGGGAAAGATGTATGTATGTATATCCCTGGATAAACATTGGAAAACAGTGAGCTAGGGGCAGTGGAGGGGGGCAGATAACGTTTATTCAGTACCTCATATAAGTCATGAACTAAGTTCCTCCATACATAGTGAATACATTGAGTCTTTTTTTTTAATTGAATGAAAGGTTTTTAAAATGCTATCATGCTTTACAGTTTTTAGAATTTCCACACAGATGATTTTATATAATCCCATTATAACTTTTTTTTCCCTCCAACCCCTAAATTGTCCTTTCCCCCTTTCCTCTCCCCGCTGGTAACCACTAGTTTGTCTTCTGTATCTGTGAGTTTGCTTTTTTAAATTTTATTCACTAGTTTGTTACATGTTTTAGATTCCACATATAAGTGATATCATACAGTATTTGTCTTTCTCTGTCTGCCTTATTTCACTTAGCATAATGCTGTCCAAGTCCATTCATGTTGCTGCAAATGACAAACATCCCATTCTTTTCATGGCTGAGTAGTATTCCATTTTGTGTATATGTGTATGTATGTATACACACACATCCCATCTTCTTTATCCAGTCATCTGTTGATGGTCACTTAGCTTGCTTCATACCTCAGCAGTTGTTAAAAAATGCTGCTATGAACATAGGGGTGCACATATCTTTTCAAATTAAAATTTTTGTATTTTTCAGATACATACCCAGGAGTAGAATTGCTGGATCATATGGTAGTTGCACTTTTAGTTTTTTGAGAAACCTCCATACTGTTTTCCACAGTGGCTACACTAATTTACATTCCTACCAACAGTGTATGAGGGTTCCATTTTCTCCACATCCTTGCCAACATTTATTATTTGTGTTCTTTTTGATAATGGCCATTCTGGCTGGTGTGAGGTGATATTTCATTGTGGTTTTGATTTGCGTTTCCCTGATGATTAGCAGTGTTGAGCATTGTTTCATGTGCCTGTTGGCCATTTGCATTTCCTCTTTGGAAAAATGTCTATACAGTTGTTCTGTCCATTTGTTAATTGGGTGGTTTGTTTTTTTCACGTAGAGTTGTATGAGCTGTTTATATATGTTGGCTATTAATCCTTTATAGGTCATATCATTTGCAAATATCTTCTCCCATTCAGTAGATTGTCATTTTGTTTTGTTGATTGTTTCCTTTGCTGTGCAAAAGATTTAAGTTTGCTTAGGTCCCATTTGTTAATTTTTTTGCCTTTGTTTGCTTTGCTTTTGGAGATGGAGCCAGAAAAATACTGTGATTTATGTCAAAAGATGTTCTGCCTATGTTTTCCTCCGGAGGTTTATGGTATCTGGTCTTACATTTAGGTCTTTAATCAATTTTGAGTTTATTTTTGTATATGGTGTTAGAGAGTGTTCTAATTTCATTCTTTTACAGGTAGCTGTCCAGTTTTCCCAGCACCACTTATTGAAGAGACTGTCTTTTCTCCATGTATATTCCTGCCTCCTTTGTTGTAGATGAATTGCCCATAGTGTGTGGGTTTATTTCTGGGTTCTCTATTCTGTTCTGTTGATCTCTGTGTCTGTTTTTGTGCTGGTACCAGATTGGTTTTTTTTTTTCCAGTTTTATTAGGTAGCATTATTACAGTTCAACTGCACATACACATTATACTGCATGTAGATTGTTTCGATTACTGTAGTACAGTCTGAAGTCAGGGAGCATGATTCCCCCAGCTCTGCTGCTTCTCAAGATCGTTTTGACCACTCGAGATTTTTGGGTTTCCATAGAAATTTAAAATTATTAATTTTTGTTCCGTGAAAAATGCCATTGATATTTTAATGGGTATTGCATTGAATCTGTAGACTGCCTTGGGTATTATGGTCACTTTAACAATGTTAATTCTTCCAATCCAAGAACACAGTGTATCTTTCTACCTGTTTTTGTCACCTTCAATTTCTTTCATCAGTGTCTTATAGTTTTCAGAGTACAGATTCTTTGCCTCCTTAGGTAGGTTTATTCCTAGGTATTTTATTCTTTTTGATGCGATGGTAAATGGGATTAAGGAAACAATCTCTTCTTCTACTATTTCATTGTTAGTGTATAGAAATGCAACAGATTTTTGTATATTAATTTTGTATCCTGCACCTTTACTGAATTCATTGATGAGTGCCGGTAGTTTTCTGGTGGCATCTTTAGAATTTTCTATGTATAGTATTACATCATCTGCAAACAGTGACAGTTTTACTTTTTTCTTTCGAATCTGGCTTCCTTTTGTTTCTTTTTCTTCTCTGATTGCTGTGGCTAGGAATAAGGTAGAATTCCCTATGTTGCCCAAAGCACGTAGCATTTGTTAGGGTGATATTTGACAGTAATGTATTTTCGGTGTTCGTATATCAGGTTCATATTTTGCAGGAGACAATGTTGGTGGAGGTGAGTGGTAGGGAGGAGTATCTGTGCGCTGCATTGAAAGTTGAGTTTGAAAGTTCTCACTTGTTTGCTTCATATGAGAGGTAGGTGTTGCCAGTAATTGAGTGGAACTCAATGAGCTGTAGGTATATAGCTATGAATGGAGTTTTTGGCTTGAGCTTAAGTTAGCTGCTGCCAATAACTGCGTTTCAGTCTCAGACCCTTGGTATGTCTGTGAAATCCTGAATTAGATAAAAATTGGCATAGTAGTTCTGAATGAATGTAGTTTTTTTTTTTGATAACTCTGTTCTCAAAAATATCTTTTGGAAATGTGAAAAGTCAACCTGGTTGGTATTTTATATAAATGGAGAATACAAATTTTAGCATATATATAAATCTAAGAAAACATAAAAAGGGTTTGTGTCTGTGTTACACACTGGTTTGAAGAAATCACACAAAAATTTCCGTCTGAGATTTTTTTAATGCATAGGTGAGACTTTTAAATACCTCCTCATATTTGACTTATCACATTTATGAAATGGAATAGGTTAGACCTAGCTTAAAAATCATACCAAATATTTTGTGCCTTACAGTTAGTTCTGTAAAACTGTTTAGTGGTCTCCATTAACCGCCTTCCTTAACCTTCCCAGGTTATTGAATCTTTGGGAATTGTTATTTACAAGGCGCTGGACTATGGCTTGAAGGAGAATGAAGAAAGGGAACTAAGCCCTCCCCTGGAGCAGCTCATCGACCGCATGGCCAACACGGTGGAGCCCGATGGCAGCAACGATGAGGGCTATGAGGCTGCGGACGAAGGTCCAGAGGAGGAGGAGGGCGGGACGAGGAGGACCATGGCCATCCGCTCGTGCAGAGACGTCATGCAGGTGAGGCAGCTCTGTCACGAGTTGTTATTTCACTTTAAAAAAAGTTGAACGGCAGTTCAGCATTTGATAATAGCTCCTGGGTTTTCAGCTGTAAGTGAAATGAATAAGGAGCTAAAATACACGCTTCTGTGATTTGTTCGAGCCTCCACGCAGCCTTTTATGCCTGACTTACATAACCTTTTAAAAAATGGCTTTTATTATATGCCCCTTATCATCACATATTTATTGTGAACCAAGTTGCCTGAGTATCATGTCTTCAGTTGACTTTGCAGTTTCCTTTGTAATAATAACTGTGACCCTTTTATTTATAGGAAAGTTCTGAATCTAAAGTATTACATTTGATTGCTTTCTTGACCTATCCAGTGGTATTTATATGTAATGAAATAAGTTCTGTGGCTTGCATTGGAATTTTTAGTCAATATTTTCTGTGTACTGGAAGGCCGTAATTTCTACAATGCTAAATGCAGAGATTAAAATTAAGGCAGGTTTGCCAGATTAGTCTTAAATGAGCACTCTGTTTAGAGATACTTACATATGATGTTTATACCAGATTTTTCAAGCAGCGTTTACTCTATAAGCTTATTTTCTAACTTGTCATAAAGTGTTTGAGAGACAGAAAGACGAACTATGAAGACACTGCTTTCCAGATGTTCTATGACACACACCGCTTCTTGCTCATTCTTGGGTAATAAATCTCAGGAACTCTGGAATGAGACTTACAGTTATGATTCTTATGCAGTTCAGATATATTCTTGAGTTCCCTGAACTCGCAGTACTTCTCATTTTAAATCAACAGTGTATACAAGTAAAATATCCTCATATATATACAAATTGAAATTTAAGATGTTTTGTTCATTTTGTATTTTGTAGATTTTAAGGTCTATTTTAAAATATATTTATATATACTTTT